TTCCCATTCTAAAACTACCAGTTACATATTGTACCATCTTAGAGTCAATGTTCACATCGAGTTGTCCAAATCGCACCGGATCTATCGGTACGGGGAAAAGGTCAAAGAGAAGTTGTTCTGGTGGAAAACTGGAAATATTCGCTATGGATGGCTTAGAGTCAGAAACAGAGGCGCCTATATTTACTACCTTAGTGGATTGCCATGCTGGTGAGGGATCTGTTTTTATAATCATTTCAAATAATCATAAAAATCCTACTTGAAATCATTGAAATCATGCTGATCATTAACATGAAATCATAAACTGGTAAACACTATCAATTTTCAATAAAACGATTAACATTCAACATGAAATTGTGAAATTATGATAATCATAAATATTCTAAAATATTCAAAATCATGATTATCATAAACGAGAAATTTATTACGAGATTCATAATTGCTTATCACAAATATGAAATCGCGAAATAGTATTGATAATGAAATCGTTAATATCAAACGAACTGTGGGCAGAAAATCGTTAAAATATACTTATCATAAGAAATCCAAAATTATCAACAAAAAGATGTTGATCATAAATATGAAAGACATAACTTGTCATAATAATTTAGAAACCGTTTGGATGGCATCTTATCCTGTTTTAGTGTGTCCTTGTGAGTGATGCGAGATTTGGCCAACCTCTGTATCATAAGAGGGCCGCTATAATTCACGTACTATGCGATATTGGTCATAGCGGTACCTTTTCCCTTTCAATGTGTATCAGTTGAAGAATCGCTGATACGCCTGTGACCAGATGAATCTAAACATATATTTTACAATTATCTCCAGTGTAGCTCTTCTTTGGGTATTTCTTTTGAAATGTCTTTATGTATATTTTAACTGGTATTGTGTATGTTTCCAATATGAATTTGTAAAGAAATATTGTAATCAACAAATTAGTATAACTTTGTATATAGTCCATCCAAATTGTGAGGAAATCGTGATAATAGAATAAATAAATGACGTCATACTAATTAGCGTTCTTAAGTTAACTAATCTTCCTCTAATAGTGAACGTATTAGGGAATAATTGCACTACCGATAAGTGTTTAAAATCATCATTTTGTTTGTTTATTTTGTGTTTTTTTATTACAAGTGTTATATTCCATATTTTCATACTCAGCTAAAAGTGCATATTGAATTAATTTTTGATTGAGATCGTAAGATATATTCATAAACCATTACTAATTAATTAACAAATCATTTAATACAATGTATATATATAAACGTAATCGCATTAATTTTATCGCAGTGGATCTTTTTCTTGATATTATACACTACGCAAATATACTAATCTATGTAAAGGATAGTAGGGTATACGTGTGCACGACACATTAATATAAATTCCCTATACGATTACAGAAAGAATGTTGTTGATAATCATTTTTATAACTTCCTCATGTCAAAAAGCAGCGTGTACGCGTACCGAGAAGTACACTAATAATTTGTATATACGGTAAGGTCGATTCGTATATTGCATCATCAACAAGATCTATTGTCGCACACCCCGACAGGAATAATTTCCCAAGGGAAATCATTACACTTTCGAATCCAAATATTGTTATGTTAATGTACGGTAAGTTGCACTGTAGTTTGATCTGATAATGTCACTTTTAACGACAAATATGCAGTTCTTTCTTTGTTTGAATTTGCATCATTTTTATCATAATTTCTCAAATTTATTTACGCTTTCCTTGCTCTGTCCTCATGCTTGTACTTGCTACAAGATACAGAAATTGACCAATACTTCCGAGAATATCTTGCATTTAATTTGCTAAAACGTTGAAATAAAAAAATAAAAGCAAAATAAGCACGTGTTCGCTTATAAGATGCATCGCTGGTGAAAAGCTTCTACTTACTGAATTATTGAAGTTCTAACATTTTTTGTGCAGGTAACATTCTAATCATTCTTTCAAACTTTCTTGCGTTCTTTTTGACGATCTGTCGATATTGAGGGAGTTATATACGAGAGTATGTGTAAAAGTCAACGGACCTGATAGAAAAACGTCTGAACTTTCTGATCCGAGGATGGGAGTTGTTTGTTATTTTTATTTTTTTATTTATAAAGTAAAAACGAGAGTACTTTCGAGGGGGAAATGAATCCCCCGGGACGTACTCGATCGTTCAGTACGCGTGCCAAACCGATCACGTGACATAGATTGGTGCAGCACAATCAGGCTGAGACTTAAAAAAAATCGATGCGGACACGGTGGCAGATAAAGGCGGAGATAATGTCAGAGCTGAACCATCTGACACTGTGTGTTGACACCGTCCGGATCGAAGCTATCGAAGGAGAATCATGAAATCGGACATAGTTATCATGTAAATATTGTCATCCCGGGTACAAACACCCAGAATGCCAGTTCGGCCGTCAACTCATTTTTCTCACAGTACTGTGTCAATGTTTGCGTTTTGGTTGCGATTTCGTTACACAGAAATAAGCTGGTGTCACGGGTAGACACCTTTACTGTTATTTTTGGTGTTGATTTTTAATTGATCGCCGCGATACCACAATAACAATATGTAGTTGTCACCACATATGGTCCGTGTTCTGTTCGATATGTAAGCTTACGGGTATGTCTGTACACCTCGGTACAATAATATGACATGTATTTCAAACATGAAATAAACAGCTGAAACAAAACGGAGAAAATGTTAACAAACACTTGTACACATATACCGTTTAACGTAGCACGTGATGCTAGTTTAGAAACTCGTTGCTATAACTGCTATATAGAAAAACTACAGAAGAACGGGTGAAAAGTATCTTAACTTGTTAAAGCAGACGGAAGAGGGGGAGAAGAATGGGTAACGTTATTGAAGCAAAGGAAATAAAGAGTGCGAAATAGCTAAGATCGTTAGCGATTGGTTAAGAGTGAGTGAGTGGATTAAGGGAGGGAAGGAGGGAAGAAATGAATGAAGGAACGAACGAACGTGTTTGGGAAATAGAACTTCTATATGAAATTAATGGTCAAGAAAATAGAACGAATGATAAAATATGTTAAGACAGTTGGCATATGGAATCTTATAGGAGATTGTGTACAAAAGAAAGGGAGAAGGAAGCGGAGAAACAGGACTTGTTGCGACAAGAAATATTACCCGAGACTGGTGTTTGCCTGATGTCGCTTCAAAACACATCCTCACACACATATCAAATCCGCCTCTTTATACTAATTAAATGTCAGCACACACAAAAAATAAACATGTCTAACAATCTGTAAGCTTTGCTAGATTGAATAATTATTTAATCTATACGAATCGTTCACTAATGAGATACACAGAACTGACTGAGTTTTGATAACGGTAAGGACGAGACGACGGGGTGGGGGTTGGGGGAGGGCTATTGTTTTCAACGGAAGTTTTATGTACCTGGTAAAGCTGAGATTCAACTGACAAATAAACACATTTAATCTCCCTCGGCCAAACAAAGGTGTTTCTACAAAGGTAGAGTCTGGAGGCCTTAAGTTTATTTTGCTAAATAAACAATAGTCAAACGCCGGCTTGTTTATAGCTGGCCACACAAACGACCTGAGGAGTTATCACCACCGGACTTTCATATCAAAACTCGTGTTCCATATTACGAAGAAGAGAAAAACGGACATTTTAAACTATTACTCGGTTCTGAATTACTGTGCAAATTGACAATAAACGGCCTACTTTGTTTACAAATGTAAATCAGATTAAACAATCCTACGTTTCACATTTTTACACTTCATGTGATACAGTATAAGTGATTGGTTTATTTTCTGTTTACAAAAATAGATATGATTTTGTGTAAGATTTGCATCGATCAATACAACGTCGCTTAATTACCAAATACTTTTTTTTACTTATAAAAACATTTATCTGTATACACGAAGCATAAATATTGATGAATGAAATATGTTTTAACTTTTATTTCAATGCTTTTGTTAAATTTCATTTACATAATATTCAATTAACATAGTGAATTGATAGGGCTATTTCACAAAATATTATTTATAGAAACACACACGCTCATTAACGTAATATACATACTAAAACAATCGATACATTTATTTAATTACGTTCATTTGGGATAATCTCTAAAAATAAGAAGTGTGTTCTGTTTTTCATACAAAGATTGAATGTTTTACTTCGTGTGGTTTACTCCTCATCCCAGTCAGATCTGTGACGTAAGAAATGAAATCACAGTATGAAGTAATTAAAGTATATCTCAAAGTGTTCTTATTCATCATAATACGTAGTTTCAGTATAATTGTCGTTATTTTGTCTGATAAAAATAATTGTGTTGATGTATCATGTATTATTGCATTATTTACTTCAATATTTTTTGTTCAGTAATTTTATTACACATACAACTGTACAAATTTTACAATGAATATCATCAGTTTTATATATTTTGATAAATATTCTTTTTCTTAAATTTTACATTACATGACGTATATAAACAAAAGATATAACGAAACAAAAACAGCATAAAATAACGTGATTGTAATTGATAAGTAACATGACATTTACTCATTTATTTATTCATCAAATTTCAAACTCAGCCTTGTTTTAATAATCAATATACGTATTCCAGAAATTGACAACTAGGACTACCTATGTCAGGTATAAGAAACAGGTAAGATAATTAAGTCACCGTATACAGGTAGACGCTATAAAAACAACTGGGCCTATGGCAATGAGCGCTCAGGTAGCGTATAACAACGAGGGTTTTAAGTATCGGAGAGTTCATTCTGTCAAACCGTGACGGTTATCTCTCTGTTTTAGTCCAGGGTTTCGCTGTCCGTCCTTCGCTGTGCTATACAACACACTGTTTCTCCACAGATTCATTCAAATATCAATATTTTAGACTCCTGGTTTCACCAGATGGTGTACGCCCATTCGAGGATGAACACAGCCGAATCACGTGTGGCCCGTCTAATTGAACGGCTTAGCCAATCAGAGCACGGCTTACTGCAGTAGGAATGTATAGAGGAGTACGAATAGATGAGTGTACACACATGATCGTGTTCAGAGCATACGAGCACGGAGCACTACTATTAGTATAGGGTTAAATAATAACTCGTGTCTTGTGTGTTTAATAACATTTTGTCAAAATTCCACCTTCAAAAGCCGAAGACATGACGGCTGACACACAGCCTCCGCCACAACCAAAAAGTAAGTAACTACAAAAAATATATCGGTAACTTTTCTGAAGTTATCATCGTGAATACAAGGATTATGACGATTCAGGCAGGTTTGTTATTGTTGTTAAATTAAGTGTTAAAACCACTTATTAGACACTGACATGCTATGATGTATATAGCAATACATTCATTCAAATACTACTTATTAGTAATAATAAAAATTGATGAAAATATATCTTATTTTTTGCAGAAAAGCGGCGGGTTTCCGTTTGTGTTGGATGCGGATCTCAAATTCACGATCAGTTTATATTAAAAGTGGCTCCGGACTTAGAATGGCACGCTTCGTGTTTGAAATGTGCCGAATGCAGTCAGTATCTGGATGAGAGTCACACCTGTTTCGTTAGGGATGGGAAAACGTACTGCAGACGGGACTATGTGAGGTAAGATCGCATAATTACAAAAGTCGACCTGACGTGCCGGCGACCCTCATCAAACTACCTAGCTACAGACATTTACTCGTTATTTACAACGAGGTGATTAATTCGTGGTTTATTAAAGATTTTTTTTACGATTCGGTTGACAATTTTTGTAGGTAAAAATTGAATGTAAATGGTATACGTTGCGATGTGTATGTCATTTTACAATATTAATGTCGAGGTGATGCGTTTAGATTGATTGATCATGGCTGTGAAGGCGTATTTACGGAGCCTGTCTTTACTTTTGTTTATATTTACAGTAATTACAGACAAAACAGTTATAATTGCACTACATAATTACACAGAATAACTGTAATTCACCTGTTTATTGATCGATAACCTTTATTGTAATGTACACCTGGCGCATCATATAACTAGTACAGGTATTGAATAGCGTAGTTAATGAGTAGGCTCGTGTCACTAACATTCACTTCATTATTAAACGATTTTATTAAGTTAAACTTTATAAACGAATGTGTATAAAATACATAACCGAACACCCGTGGTCGCTGTGACGGGGATCGGGGGGAGGAGGAGGAGGAGGAGGTGTAAGGGGAGGGAGAGGTTTATCTCAATATCCTGCTGTGTATAATTTTGAATTACGCTAGGAGACCCACAGTCATATGGGGAAAATAATCTTTATTCGACTTCTGTTTAGTTTTGAAAAGAGGTCACAGGCAAAATAAATGTTAAAACGTGGAATTATCATCAACTTCTAGATTCAACCTACCAAACACATGTTGTTTAACGTTAAAGAGTTGTTGAAACAGAGCTGAGGTGGTATGCTGAGTCTTCAAATAATAGACCCGACAGACCTATCTAAACTCATACCGTTATATCAGCGCTAATGTACTGTACACTCATATCCAGTGATTACACACAACATTATTACTTTTTATATTCATATTTATTTTTGTATATATGCTATCCGCATTGTATATGATGCCAAACATTGGAAATGAAGTTTCAGGATTTAAAACCTACCTTTACCTACTAAACTCTAATCAACGAAACACACGATACTTTATATAAATAAAATACCTGGTTCATTTATTCTTATATAATATACCTTCAAACCTTCTGATAGTTCGTGCAAACACATATCGTATACTGATTTCTTGTATTGTATTTATTCCGGCTTCATATTTTAATATATACTTGACTCTTGTACTTTGTAGTATACTTATATTTGACTTTTGTTAATATATCTACATCATAAGAAAGTCTTAAGCATTTATTTCATAACAAAGAAAGTTTATCACAAACACTTATGTACTGTAGTAGGCTCCTCTTATATAATAACCAATAATTCATATTTAAAACTAGATTTTACAGATATGTGATTATATATCGTTACTAATGTTATCATTACTGTTTCTTACTGTCTGTGTTAAAAAAAATTGAATCATAGATTTTAGCGGAAAGAATAACACAATATCAAACACAACTAGATGCATTTACATTATAATGTATTATTATAAATAAATATAACCAATGATGTATCAAAGTTATCCTATGTTATCTGTATAATTTTAGGGGGAATATCACAAATCAATACATACGTGATAACTTTTCCAAAGTATCAACAATAATAATTTGATATTGATTTCACACTTTTGTGATTAATACTTCTGTAATACTGATACATTCAATTTTAACATTTCTTCTCTTATAGCATAATAACGTAAATACTTAATAATTCCTTCTTTTCTTAGAAATAATCTCTTCATAAATGAGATATTGTTACTTAATTTTGATATTTTATTTTTTTCAGAATATTCGGGGCGAAGTGTAACAAATGTAATCAAACCTTCGGGAAGAGTGACTTTGTAATGAGGGCCAAGAACAACGTGTACCATATAGATTGTTTCCGTTGTGTGGCCTGCAGTAGGCAACTAATCCCGGGGGACGAATTCGCCCTCAGGGACGACGGACTATTTTGTAAGGCGGATCACGAAGTTGTGGAGAGGGCATCTTCGAAGGAAAACGGAAGTGAAGACGGAAGTCCTCGGATTAACAACAATAATAATATTGTGACGAAACGTGCAAATAAAAATAACGACGACAACAACAACAATGAAAAGGGACTCTCTCTCGTCGGTAGGTATTCCTGTTTTTAGTATGACCCTTTTTGTTTACATAGCTTAATGCATATTAGGTTGTTTTGTTTAGACAATTAACTAATCTGATATACATTCCAAATTTGCTGTGATCCCTCAACTCTCCGATTTTGTTTCTCGAGAATATATTCCTCGCTTTACCATGACCTGTTTTATTTATTCTACAAATTGGTTTCCTGTATTTATCCTGACCCGTTTTGTTATTCCGTTAGAATTATAATGCTAATATATTTTGCTGTCATGCTTTGGCTGTAAAACATTACAACCCTCGTTAATTTAGTCATTTATAGCTTAGATTCGTAAACAAGTACAGGCGATCTTTCACAATGTCTGTTACGTGAGAAAGAAATTAACAATTAAACAACACTAAGTCTATATTTTGGCTCATGGAAATGTGATTTCCTATAAATCCTAAGTTAGATCTATTCTTAAACAGTAGTTGATATGACCATTTTTTTCATATCTAGGACAAAAAAAATAAAACCTGAATTGTATTTTCCGTCCAATTTCTCATCAAGGCAGCACAAAGCTATATCATACCGTTACACAAGAAAATGTACATGATGATTGTTCGGCTATACCGTTTTTAGACCACCTACATTTACACGTGTATCTGTTCGTGGTCGCTAAGATGACAGTATCATTATGAATCAGTCTTAATGACAAACTTTATTACATATGTTATCAGTCATATAAAACAAATCTCATTTCATGTGTACCGTCCATTCATATGGTTTGTGTATTCGGAGTCGACTTACTATGGCCGCTAAAATACTACCCTTTCGCACGTGCGTACGAACGTGCTTTTGGTATATCAGAAGGCTGTGTCGGGACCAGCGACTTAGTTTACACGGCCGGGAGGGTCCCGTCGTGCCTCGCTGTAGGGGGGACCATCCGATACGTGTCAGGGTCAACTCCTAGATCTAGTGCCACTGTGATATCTCCCCTATCACACGTGTTAATTTGGATTATAATTCACTTATCAGTAGATATTCTTGTTTGTACGTGGTGGGCCGGAGTATTTACGATACTAGATTAGAGAATTACACTCTCACCTACGTCCCCACCATGTCACTGTTGGACTAGGGATTTAGACAATTTTCCCCAGACAACCTGACCCCTTAACTCACTCCCACGAACCTCGAAATCTTCTCGAGTTTTTCTCTTCTTCACACGAATGTCAACAAACCTCTGTCGAGAAATTGACATCATGAATATGCATTTTCCTGTGTCGTCGTTTTCTATTGAAGAACCTAGTACACACATACAGTATATATTTATAATCGATCGGTTTAAATATGTTTTATTTTTTTAACATATCCCAAAAATACATAAAAAACAAACATACAATATTCACTCATTCATACAATTTCTCTGAAATATACACTTATGTATTACTCCCACACCTTACGGTTTATGTACATTTGAACATGTTTACGAATCAAATAAAAACAATTGTACATTGACTTTATTTGAACGTAATGTCAATATTAGGTAATTAGCCCGAACTTCAATATCAATATCAACTTATTTCTCGCATGTTTAATGTGCTCAAAGATACACATGACTTGACAATCCAGTTCTAAAAATCGAGTGTACAAATAGTAGGTGTCGGTTGTAAACAAATACAACAAGTACGTATGCTAGGTGAAACCACCAAAAAAACTTGTACATAATTATAAAATACCAACAACACAGTAACAGTTGATGGCACGCATGGTTAGGGAGGCATGCGGTCAAACGAGAGAACAATATTCCACTCCTTTGTACGCTTCAAGAGTTGTTCAATTTACCGACAAGAACGGTTGTTGTGTTAGAAAAGTAGATAAACAATTAAACTCTATATAAACTGCACATCAAACAACACTAACAGTACCTAAATAACGTATAAAACCCACATAACTACCTTCCGATGTCGAAATTGGTAGGAAAATACAAATAAATATTGAGTTTATTACAACGCGGGCGAAACTTTTCGTACCGTGCACAGGGAAAATTAAAGAAACACATAGCTTTATTACTACATCCGGCTGTGTCACTCATGAAATGTCGGCGAGTATTCAGCGGTGTCCTTTGACCCCGAAATGAACACGGAAGAAACTGACAACTGCATGGGAAATGACAACAATTATGATCCCGATATACATCTTCCAAGTCTCGTCTGGAACGGGATGTAATCTGTGTCTCGCGCATAGACGACAGTTTATTTATTGGTCATCTTATGGACGACGGGCTTATTATGAGCTTTATTACCGAGTGTGTCGTCCCAATGATCGTTTATCGGTGTAAATATGAAATATGAACCGGACCAAATGTCAGCGTAACCTTTTCTTCCTTCAGAGGATAGCCCGGTAACGTTTCAATGGAGGGAGACATCCACCTAAAACTGGCGCTTTATTAAGAACCTGTTAAATTATAACAATATGGGAAACAGATATAGAATGCTTTTAATTATTGTAAAAAAGAAATGAAACCCGTTTTGTATTTCATCGTCATTTAATTTAATGTATATTTTTTTCATTTAAGTAAATAACGTTAAAGTAAGAAATGATAGAGAGGTTACAGGCTTGAATATATGTCACAATATCACACAATATAGATAAAAGCTACATTCGTATTATTTTATATTTACTATTTACCAAAGTGTAGTATGTTTAAAGAAAACACGGTTGATCTATTTTAAGCCTGTTATCCTTTAACACTGAAACTGTTTTAAAACAGTGGCAGATTTGCCTACGTGAGCGTGAACTATTATAAATGAAGCATACCTGGGGGTAATGACATTTTTACTTTGTCCTTTAGAAATGAACATGTCAGTTTTCTCACCGTCGGTATAGCTATAGTACAAGTGCTCTGCCCTTTACAAGGTTAGGAGTAGACCCTTACTAGCCTGTACGGTACTTGGGTAACATTTAGATAGAGCTGTAGGGTCGCACAAATCACCTGTTGTAGAACGCCCCCTAATATTAACGCTGAACGGAATTGATTTATTTAACAATTTACCGAATTAAGTTCTAAATATCTACCTCAGCCTGTACACTGACAGATTTTACCGCCCCTATAGCGGTATAATTGATACCAGTTGTCAACATAAACGTTTTTGTCAAAGACTTGCTCGCATAATGTTGTCTGTGAGAGCAGTGTCGTTGTAAGGGTGCTTGTAGTCGCCCCATAATGAGTGAGATTTACTAGCGATCGAGCCACAATCAAAACGAACACACCCCGCTTATTGTGTCAGTTAAATAAGTGTTGTATTTGAAATTGTGCATGAATTAAACGTGGAAATACGTATTGTCTTGGAGTGAATACCTGTACCAAATGGTTATCAATTAGACCCCACAACGCGAAAAATACACTAACAACTACTAATACAGTTTCTTGCTTAGTGAACACGGATTCCCCGCAGACGCTTCCTGACACTGTCGTATTAATATTTTATACTGCTAATATTGGTTAGGTTTAAAACCTTGAACGAGATACCTGTTCTCTTCATAAGACATAAATCGAACAAAAGGTACAGAAGTTCCAAGGCTAATTATGACAGAAATATATATATATAGTCAACATAATGAGCGTGCAAGCGACATTTGTGACACTGTTGAAATATCCATAGCCGAATGTATTTTTAGATTTTGCTATGAAAATATTTTAACGTGTTGAGAAAACACGCAAAAATATAATCAAATTGTAAACATTGTGGAATTGTCTAGCTGATTTGAAAGTAGAGAATTGAAATATTATAATAATAATTTGTTTCAATCGTCGAGTTTCTTAATTCCTAAACCATAGTTCGGTTAGTCACCTACAGCAACACGACAACGGGGGAGGCGGTTCTTCTCTAAGTGTGACAACTTCGATACTAATTACTTGATAAGTTCATTCAGTTTGCTACCTGACTTTGTACCTCGCCTGATAAGCCTCGTCAAAAGCAGGAAAATAATAGCTATAATTCTTCCTAATCGGAACATTCAAACACCGAATTTCTGTGTTCATTACAGCAAGATTAGATACAATAGGTCGTTATCAGCCAAACGAGGTAAATATTGTATCAGGATCTCATTGCTAAATAATTCATCTAAATATGGCCGAATCAATTATCAATTATTTATTCATAACCTTCAAACTAGCGATAGATAGCCGGGGTAAAATATCCTTACAATATGCATAATATAGCCGAAGGAACAAACCGAAACGTAAATTCCACGCCGATAAGCCTCGAGTTCCGTTATTGCTCGCGGTCCTTTGTAGATAAAGTCATCTTTGCGCCTGACAAACGCATGGTATTACCATTGTTTTGCAGCTTAGAGGTAAATTGTTCACTTTCAAACGCCTCCCTTGCGGTTCTTTTTCAAATTATATGTTATCAGTGAAATCGACATACGTAAACAAATCACATACAAGATTATGTATACCATTTCACTTTGAGGTATGGCCTATTTATCATATACGATGCTATTTTTGAAGGACAGGAATTTTTATGAGAGTGTCGAGGTTTTACACTTTATTCGAAGTCGATTTTTTTCATTTATTTCAATGTCTTGTATTGGTTTTATTATAGCCTTCTTAGTTCGTTCATTAATACATTTGTAATAGCACGTCAACATTTACTTGTATATTAAACACTATAGTGTTGTATTTTTAAATCAGGGTTAAGTGCAGCGATATGTCTGACACAATATTGACTAATACACACTATGGAAACTGTTATTGTTTATTTTGTTGAACGAATTATTGTTGTAGATAATACATGATAACAATTGCGGTGGAAATTTGATAATGTATATTTTGATCGCTTTAATATGACATATAGGTATTATTTTCCTCCATTGAGACAAGTTGATAGATACAAGTAAATGAATATGTTTATTATTTATGATATTTAATATTGACATTAACAAAGGCATAATGCGACAGGTAAACAATGAGAAAAAATGTGTACACTCATTAATAATTCTCTTAATGGTAATACCGTTAAAAATAGAAAACAACACATGTCCTTGCTATTGGTAACAACTGTAATTGAAAATGATTACACCAGGAGTTGTGTGATAGTAGGGACTAAAACGGTAGTAATTGTAGCTGTCGTGGAACTGCCGATAATTCCAGCATACCTGTCGACCGGCAAACATGCATTGTAAATTATTCACCTGTGTTGACGAGGCGCCGTCAGTAGACCAATGCGGGTCCATCAGAGCTTTGTTTTCTTTTCTGTAATAAATAATATAGCAGCTGGTTTGCCTTCATGCTATATATATAATAAAGAGATGATTGAGTTTGTGATTGTAGAGTTTTATAGTAATATGTAGGTAGATATACATGATTATTTATATATATATAGCAATATATACACCGCTTGCACTGATTCATCGATAATGAATTTCCTATACAAATGGAATGCTGTGCAAGTCAACTTGTTTTTTGTATTTCAATATTAGTATTTTCTTGCTTTAATCATGGTCAATTTTCGATATTTTTCTACATTGATATCCACTCAATTGTAGATATTCGTCTGGTTGTTTTTTAACCACTCCAGTATTTATCATTTGTTAATTGAAATTTCAGAACATTATTTGATATAAAACAATTCAAATATTGCTGCAACTATTATCATTTATTATGAGTAAGACATGTTCATAATTTTAATTGTGAAAGTTCGTAATTTCATTTCATGTAAAAATTTGAAGGATCTCAAATGTATTTGAAATAAAATTGAATGTGTTGTATACACTTTATCAATGATTTCACATGTAGTTAATAAATTCTTTTTGGCAAAAGCAAACTATTTCGTTTAAAAAATAAACGTTAAACAAAATTAGAGTTAGCTTGATATTATATTGTTTACATTGTATTAAACTATGATACAAATAATAAGTCAAAAACATCATTAAGCTAGTAAAAACTTTATGACTGTATTTTTTTCAATTTCATTTCAGCTGGCCGGGCGGAACAAGTGTCAAATACAAAGACGAATGGTACAAGATCACATGTTCACAAGTCAGAACAAAAGCCTACTAGAATAAGGACAGTGCTCAACGAAAAACAACTACATACTCTGAGAACGTGTTATAATGCAAATCCGAGACCGGACGCTTTAATGAAAGAACAACTTACCGAAATGACAAACCTGAGTCCTCGAGTGATCCGGGTGTGGTTTCAAAACAAACGCTGTAAAGACAAAAAGAGGAGTATACTGATGAAACAATTACAGCACCAACAGCAAGAAAAAGTGAGTAAATTCATAGTAAGTGAACCTTTTTTTAAACCTTTTAAAACATATATACATATATAGCTGTTTAAGTGGTAAGTATTTGATATCGCAATAAACTTAAGCAAAAATCATGAATACATATAAATAATTTATTACACATTTTCTTTTATTTTTTATGCAATTAACACGGTTTATGTTGATCGTTTATGGATTGTGAGTAATTAATTTCACTAGTGGTATTTCAGGAATATTGAAATATTCAGATATTGGTAAAAGCTTTGCTATATGACTCTTTAGTCGAAGTTAATTGTCGCTCTGTTTGTTTACGTGTATGGAAGTTACCGCAAAATACTACAGAATAAACATCTTTGCGGAATATATTTGTACCTGAATTGCTGTGTGTAGCACTGATATGAACTACAATACAATCTGTTGATCGTTAAGTTAAATCAGGGCTGTATCATGTTGTGTGTATATATAAATGTTCTGTATGCGATATAGTATTTATTTTATACAATAGGGATATTTTTGAGTTATTCATATGAACCAAAATGTTGTACATTATTTTATGTATATATAAGTTTTCCGTATATTTATTTAGTGTCATACAAAAAAGATATTTTAATCATAGGGATATTTTGATTAGTTAAAGGGAACGTGTGCAAATATAAGAAAAAAAAAAGTATAAAAAACATCTCTGAATTTTTTTCTGAAGGTAAATGTCTTGCCGCCATAGGTTCGAGCTTACACAAATATTTCTGATTATACTTTCAAGTTGTCATACTTTGTTCTTCATAATGTTGTTTGAGATTTATTCAAATCTAATCTGGGGAAAATATAAAAAAAATGCTGTAGAGCAGCATTGTAGAAGATAAATAATATAACTATCTAAGATCAACGATAACCCGAACGTAAACAAACCGAATTTTGATGCGAGCTCAAATACCATGTAAATCATACTTTTTAGTTTGAATTGGAAAATAAAATTTCATTCATAAAAAATCGACCCTCGTACCAATAGTGGACGTTCTTGAGGACAAATCGCTCTCGACAAAAACGGTTTGAACTTGACAAACATAGGCATATTCCAAGGATCGACCCAACCCATCGAGTTCACATTTGTGTTTATCTAAGGGATTCTAATATTTGCAGTTCTCTTTACAACATGGACAGAACGGCTTAGCTACCACTGCCAAGACACACAAAAATCGTCTAGCCGGATTTCACTGTTTAGGAAGACACTGAGATAGATAAAAATATGCAGAGAAAATGGAGACGATTAACCGTATGTTAAACTATGTAACAGGAGCGATCTTGGTCATATACCTCTGTGCATATTTTAAAATCATACCGAAACTGTCGGGTTGATAATTTTCAGCGAAAATCTAAGATTTGTACTCATGTTTGATTTCTGGGTTATATCACGGGTGTTAGGACATCAGTTGTAAAGTATTGTCATGACAGCAATCCGTATCGACAAAACGTTTATTACATTGGATCGACAAAGAATTAATGGGTATTCTAAACTGTTTATATATGAAACAAAACAAATAAAATATAACAAATCATAAATAATGTAACAATTTTACTACCAACTCTATAATAAAGGTGATAAAATATCAGTGCAGTATTAAAATATTTTATTGTATTATATAAAGTGAAAGTGATCTGTATTATTACAGAATACTGTTTCTGATATGTTAATAAAATAAAACTGTATAGGATATTGCATTAAAGACATGAATACATATGTGCCATCGGGTTTCGGTGCACACATGTTGCACTCATAAAAGTAAGACCAGCATTTAAACACCATCTCTGTTGTACATAATAACATACTGGTACACAGCTGGTACAATGAACATTTTGTCAAATTAAATTTAAGATAAGGTGTTTTAGCAACAACATGATAGCGTGTGATACTTTGTCTCTGTTTCCGAGCATGAATAATTCAGTAGAAAGCGATTAAGATATTAGAGCGCGCAATCAATATAATTCCAAGTAAAGTTGTCTAATTGTAATTTTATTATTATACCTACAATGTCAAGTGGAAATTCTAATATCCTGATTTGATTCAATTAGCGTGCTTTTCGATAAAAAAAACTTTTTTCCCCCGATTCATCAGAAAGCAAATTATTTGCAGTTTCAATTTCCTGAACGGGACTAAGTATTGACGGTGGCAGGAGTACAGTTGTAAATTAGACCTCCACACTTGACGTGGAGACGACCAAGTTGTCTCCCGATCACTTGTCTTGTTGTATTTGCGACTTTGCATGACTAGAAATTATCTTTTAATTCCCCCTAATTATAGACAATTATATGATTTTACGGCCTCAGCATCAATGGCGCAGCAGCAGACCTCGAAAGATTTTCTGTAAAACGCTCCATATTTGAGGCAAACTATTAATAATCAGCAGACACAAACCTAAATGCATAATGAATTAAATGAATTTTTTTTCAAAATAGCAAAAGGAAGAATATATTCTATTGAAAGTTCTAAATTGTACTGCATTGGCAATTTTACATGTTTCGTCTGTACCATTTCTTGAACGATGTGTATTTGAGAGAACCAAGGAGGCTAGTCGCGTGCAGAAGTAAATGCCGTGGTGCCTAATTGGAAATACATTGAATTAAGTCTCTTATTGAATCCCACGGGGTATTTAACGCCTGAATATGGGCGCTGATAACTATAAACAACACCTTTTCTTGCAGATAATTCAAGAACATTATTTGTAAACCAAAGAAAATTTACTTTGCTGTGGTTGTAATAACCCCCATGACAATACTGCAGCATCCCTCACGGAAGCCAGGCAATAATTGAGAGAACCGGAGGCGCTGTGGACACCCCCTACCGCTTTCCTCTTATTTTCACCATTATTTCCCCTTCAAGCATTATGCTAACTTAATTTGAAAAATCACAGGAGAAAAGGAGCAAAATTCGAGGGCATTTGTTTGACAATGATTATGCTGACAAGGTTCCCGCGGCGTAGCAAATCGTGTAGAAATCTAAACTGGATTACCTACAACTAAGCTAACTAGGACCGGACCTGAACGGCACATTCTCTACAGACACGCTTGGACAAAGACCAGTCGGTCAAATCTTAATCGTTGTAGAGAATATTTTTTTCCTTATTTCTATAACAAAATATGTCATCCTGAAACCAAAATCATAATGGTTTACCCTGAATACCAGGTGGAGTTATTGAATTTGTAACTAACTACATTATTTTAGTAATAAGTTTATTCTACGTCCTGAATGCGAGATGTTACCACTAAACATGTAATGTCTGGATCATAATTTTTAAGTAGGTCAAAAATTTATAATATTTGTAAATCCATGTCAGTTATCAAATCATAGCCCTGTCTAAAATAACACTATCAAAAGTCGTACATGCTGATACCACAAAGTGAGTGCAGTGAAAAGTGACATCAAGGATTACCCTCCTGTGATAACAATTGTATGGTTAAAAAATGGGTTTCTCTATTTTGAACACTGGTTAAATCGACAAACTGTCATATCCGTCAAAAAAATCCAATCCCATTTAATGTCGGTGTAGGTTTCAGTGTAACTATTCAACGTTCTTAGTTTAAAGCTGAGATGAGTTTCGTTTTCAGTGGTTTATTCCATAACCACATTTTACTCTGCATTGTCATTATTTTCTGAAACAGTCTTTTGTCTTTCTTCACCCGTTCACTGTTATCTCCATTCTGTTGTCGTTTACATATCGGGGTTTAAATCCATACTTGATTGAGGTATCCACAAACGGTACCAACAAAGCCTCTACATGAACAGGCAAGCCGTGTAATGATGAGACAAAAAGATAACACAACTGAAAATAACGGAAAAGGGATAAATATTTTAATAACTTACAAAGGACAAATATTAACGATCTGACATAAGTCGGTATACTAATTCATTGATTTATTTTTGTCAGAAAGTATCTCTTTTGTTGAATGGAGACTTAAAACCGCAGGGTGGCTAGGCTGCGACAGTCAGCCTCTCTTCAATACCTTGCGAAGTATATGGTTTCGACATTACGAGAGCCGACGAAGATGAACTGGAGATAACAATTGATGATATTTTTTCAAGGTCTTTTAGTGCATGTTTGGTTACTGAGACAGACAAGTAGTGGTATAACGAACCTAACCACTATTGTGCTCACTACTCTATATAATGGCGACGCTTGCTTTAGCTGATAGGTGAAAATGCTATAACGGAGAGATTCATCACTAAAATAGTTAATAAAGCACTAAATAGTTATGAAGGTGATTGTTACCGCTATATAACTATAAAAAGTGATTATACATTTATGGCACTGCTTTATAAAAGAGCCAGTTCTGTACTCATTGCTATATAATTATGATGGTGGTACTCACTGCTGTACAAGTATAGGGGATGGACTAGTAGGTACCAATAGTACACTCTGCTATAACTAGCTTTATCACTGATGATACTGTTCACTGCTATAGCTGATGATAACACTCTCTGAAATAACCGATAAATGTGATCTTTGAAATAGCGAGTGATGGAGTCACTGCTCTAGCTGATGATAACAATCACTAAAATAACCGATAAATGTGATCTTTGAAATAGCGAGTGATGGAGTCACTGCTCTAGATGTAGGAATTAACTAAAACAGATAACACTGACAATCGTTACTGTACGTTTTTACTCTAGATCGACAGCCAATGGCTATGTATAGTCCTCATCGAGGCGATAGTGCTACTTATTTACTCACAATTTTTCTTGTTGGTAGCAGTACTCAGTTTGTACTGTTACAGCTGCTCTTACAAAAAAAACATAGTCTTACATGGAGCTGTTACACTTATTGATTAGGCAATTATGTTATTATAACAGTTACAATAAAAAACTACAGATCCAAAGCTGAAAGTCAAGCTGGTGGTTTTATCAAATACATCTTGCTATTCATTAAAACAGTAAACATGTATTTGAATGATTATTTTATGTATGATTACTTCAGTAATACAATTTTCATTAAGAACGCTTAAAATAGTTTTACGAGGACAGATATTTGGAAAAGAAAATATGCCTTTGAGAAGAGCTATTTTAATCTTCTGAATATGTAGATAAGTAAATCAACATAGAAAAATAAATTATTTGACTCACTGAAATTTTGGTATTTTTATGTCAAATAGAATCATGGCCCGGAGTTCAAATGATTAATACAACTTCATATTTCTATGAAGTGCATAGACATTTTTTGACTAAATAGTTACCACACCGACAAAATGTTGTGTGCTAATAGTATATATTTTTTTGTGGTGATGGCCCGTCCATATTTTTTCCTTATCCGTTGCCTACAGAACTTGCAAACCTTTCCAGGAATGTCGATGTCCGCCTGGCAGCTAAAAGTGATTTAGCAATGATTATACAACGATGAAGGGGAGAGGCAATTTTCACTGTAATCATTGTCTATTTATTTGTTACCCCTAGTTGGTCATCATCTGGTTATTGGAAATTCCGTATAAGCCGTATGCACTGGCATACACAAGTGATATTAGAATTTAATAATAGCCTCTCGGCTCTTCTCAGAGAGGTCGCGCTTTCACACAGAGCTAATTTCGTGTAAATTTCTCTGATGATTAGCGCATGCAGTCATTTAATTTCCTCCAATTCAAACAGCTTTTTATAATATGAATTTCTACTTATTCCGGTCCCTCCGGAAATTAAGAAATTCCGCAATTAGATTATACCTTTTCCACGCGATTATTATGATCAAATCGCATTGTTTGTACCCCCTAGTTAGGGGGTAAACAGCCTCCGTGATGGAGTGATGGAATATGTTTTCCCGTTGCTTTTGTGACCTGTAGCGTTTTTAGCCTCTACGTGTTTTGTAGGTCTTTGTAAAGATTAAATATGAAAATACAAAAATAGCAGTATGAGTGATATGTGGGTATTACAAATCTAGCTAACGTTATTCCAAAAGAATGCATTTTGCACTTCCGATTGTGGCCACATGCCTTACATAGCACAGAAATAGCATTTACATGTTTTTTCGCCTGTGTGCTGAAAATATGTTTCTAGCATGTTATACTTTTTCACACCGTGGTACTGTGTATCATCGGCACACTGGTATCCTGACGTAAAGTGACATACATGAATAAATGAAATCGAGAATGAAATGTTAAGTATATATTTATTACAATAAATCTCACACCCTACACATTAAACGTGCTGGTCGTCTATCCTGATTTGAACCCCGACACTGTGAGAGTGAGAAGAGTTTCTCGCCAAAACCTATCCCTGCGCCACCAGTCAGCACCACCTCACGTGATGTAGTGGGCTTACTGGGAGTAAACTATAGGAGAAAAAGTCCTGAACAGAACCAGGACTTCGGGGTTTGCGTGATATAGGATTACATTATATTGTGCAAACATAGCGCTTAGCAGAAGGTCTGTTGATTGTAAAGCTAATTAAAAGCATGCTTGTGTTGATAATCAGAGGGCATCTGTTCTGACTGTGTACAGCATCTCGAAAAACTCCACACACCGTTCTACTGCCAGACTATAAACAGAATTTACATCTCCAGAAAATAAATATTTAATGAACTCTTAATACTTTCGTTGGTTTTTAAGCAATAAACACTGATCGGTAATATTTATGATATTCTATAAAATATAATATGCTGATTAATTGGACAGTTTTCCAGCCCAAAATAATGATTAAAACCTCCAGACATACGATATTTATTCTGTTTTTATTCGATTGATTTAATCTATTGTAATGATCGTGCTACACATTATGAGCGTTCGATCATTTTCATATAGTATTACATGCCTTCTAGAGTCCCGATAGTGCAATAATAATAATTTCATTATCCATTTTACCGAAACAAACAATCCATCCAACCAAAAGAAAAATGATATGGACATTTTTTTGGGTGTCATATTTAATGCTAATCAAAACATTGGGACAAGTGATCCGCGATGAGTAATTACATAACGATACAGTAAAATAAATATATAAATAAAATATTAATACGGTTTTAATCTAGGGCGAGCACTTTTAACGGATAATTAGATACCAACAAAATTGTATTCATTCTCATTACAAAGAGTTAACACTAATCGATTGCTAATAAATTCGGTTGAACAAAGAACGGGTACCGAGTTATTGATATGAAATCGAAATAGTATTGTTTAAATTGCTTTTATATAATTTTAAAATTTTAAAATTTTAAACTCTTCTATTTCCCACCAAACATGTATTTGGTTGACATTAAATGATTATGGTGATAGATTTCCTCAGAGATCGTGATGAGGGGAGGGCACAGGCTGCTATGAAAACTGTTATGCTATGATTCGATCGGAGTTTTATCCTTTTCATTAAATTCAATACAACACGTAGAGTACAGGCGGAATTATTCAATGTGATACCCATTCTTTACTTTGTATTTGTTCAACCGTTTACACATTCGGAAATTTACGTTGTAAAATTCTAATATGGAATTATGTGAGGGATGATAGAATTATATTATTTATACAACGCCAGCCATTCTAAAGCCCGTATCTAACGATTTCTGACCTGATGGCCAATGTGTTTGGTGTTTTATTATCGACGGAAAGTTTCAAACGAGCTATTTTAGAATAAAAGGGAAAGAGATTTTTCTCATTATGATATTGATTCCGGGTAGAACACTGTCATCTTTCTGTCGATATCATGCCAGACAGCAAACAGGCAAGTCAACTGAACGTAACGTATGTACGCTTCATTGTATCTCGATGAAAAAGACTCCAAACGTTGCTATTAATTGATCCAAGTCCGCCAATATAACTATCGTATATAGTGGTGCATAGTCGTTTTCCCCCGTTATGTAATCCTTCCTTGGTAGATAAATTGAAAGGAAACAACATTAGAATTTGGATAAAAATCTGCCTTTTAAAAATATCAAAATCTTTGATAAAGAAGTAGTCATTTGTTTTACAATTTTTCGAAATGCACTGAATACATGTGTACATGTGTACAGGAGATACTTGGCAGTTAAAAATAAACAGTATTCACTATCTGATGCTGCGGAAGAGTTGCTAAGAAATCGTTTTATACAACGCTCGGCTATAAACAACAAAAGTGTCTTGATAAAAGGCTAAACACATTCCCAAACTGGGTTATTTATTAGTGTTAAGTTTGTGTTTCGATATTTTAACAGATATTGATTTTTTTTCAGCAAATTATAACCATGATTATTCAATACAAATGCTTATATAAAACAAAATATTTCAACACTTGATTATTTTTTTAATTTCAGAATGGCGGACGGTTGCACGGCCCACTCCAAGGAGTTCCGATGGTCGCTTCAAGTCCCGTTCGACACGAGAGTCCCATGCAAGCTAATGCGGTCGAAGTGCAAAGTTACCAACCACCATGGAAGGCTCTCAGTGATTTTGCCATGCAAAGCGAACTTGAACATCCGCCATTCCAACAACTGGTGAGCACGTTTGTTTGTGACGTCACACACGATGACGATGACGATGATCATGTCGTGTGCTATGATCAGTGCTGACCGGAATTACATCACTCTCGGCAGAGTACTTACGGTAAACGCTATTTAATTTTACTCCTGCCCTCATGCTATGCAGTTTCTGTTATCATTATTAGACCAATGGAAACAACGCATGTATATATATACACACATATATCAGCTGTTTGTGTAAAATATAAAACCAAATGTTTCAGATTCTTACTCAGTATTTTTTTTTATTTATAAATCACGAAATTGGCAAAGATGAAGAACAAAATCAAGAAAAAACGGGGGGAAAATCAGAAAATGCCTTTAATCGAAAATTTTGACAATAAGAAAATAATTCTTGGCAGTCATCTGCGGAATTACGGATATAAATACTAATTTAACCAGTCATAAGCCATGACAGTAAAAGCGCCTTCCCCACATGCGTGATCCTCACTCTGCTTATGTAGCTATAGTTTGTTGTTACCGCCTCTGTTATATGATTTTTAAATTTCTTTGAATGTGTATAGCCATTTTTGTTGCATTTTGACCAAATAAACCAAGTACAATACAGTTGCACTATAATATTCATGAATGATTTGGGAAAAACTCAACAAAAATATAACATCTATGAGAAAAAAAAATGATAAGTGAAAAGGAAAGCTGTTGATATATAACGGAACTGCATAGCAAGTTTGTAAGAGTTGAAATTAAAAAGCTTTGCATGATTGTTTTATTTCTGCCTAGTAGTGAGTAATATGTTCAGTATTAGATCATATGATTTTTGAATTTTAGTTTCAGCATGAGTTTTGATTTCATTGATATTGTTGAATATTGTAAGTCATTTAATTTTCGCAAATATCTATTTTCGCTATTTCAACAACGTATTCTCGATGATTTGAATTCTGGAAATTTTCAATAATATTCACTTTGTGTCTAAATGTTTTCCATTGATATTTCAATTAAAATAATAATTTGCGAAGTATAGATGAGTTACAATGCACTTCTAGTATTTCAACATACTGCATAGTCTTAATGTTTTCCATTGATATTTCAATTCACGAAAACCTCTTTCTTCTTTCTGATTATTGAAAAAATCGAAGAAAAAAAGATTTTGCGAAGTATAGATGAGTTACAATGCACTATTTGTATTTCTTGTGACAGATTTCGCAATGACTACATTTGTCAAATTTGACCGGTGTATCTTACATTATGAAAATTAAACGAACATATTACAGTGAAATTAGTAAACAACGATTTCAAGAAAATAAAATCGCGAATGTAAATTTGTGAAGGATAAATGTTTCATGATATGGAAAATATGTTCTGTAAAATAACATCGTCACTAACACTATCCTCTAGCTGGTTGTCTGTAATGACGAAGTGTCACTCTCCGTGGATGTATATTTTCAGTATTTAACTTGAAGAATATGTTGGATAAATGTTGAATGTGGCAATTTGTGTGCTAACTCAGAACAACCTCAATACAACAATGTAAATTGTTAATACACAACGATGAATACCAATGCATATTTACATACCCTAATACACATACCCTAATTTACTTACGCGAACATTTACACAAGGAGTAGTTTACTTAATAATGTATCCCTAATTTTGGTTAGAAAAAAAAAGGAAAAAAAGTGAAAAACACGCAAGCTCTATTTCATCAACCGCCATATATTCAAAAGTGTCCAGTATTTATCAGATGTTGTTAATGCATTTTATGAATAATACATAATCTCCTTTAGCGGCATTCTGCAGTTATCTATCGATATAATCCAGTACGCGCATCGAGGCTAGGTCAGATAAAGCTATGATATGGCAAGATACATTTCCACGAGAAATTCACGTGGTCATCTCACCTCATTATAAAACATAGAACATCTACATATCAAGGCACTTCTATTTCTCCAAAAAGACTTTTATTTGAAAATATATTTTCGTTGTTCTTTCCCAACTTCCATAAGCTTAAAATACTTTCAAAACTCATTGCATTTCTGATTCGTACCAGATTGTTTTCGCGCTTAAATTGAATGAATGCCAATTGTTTGACCGCCTAGGCTGTATCATACTTAAATGGTGTGGTCAAGATTCAAGCAAATTATTTTTGACGCTCTTTCAAAGAATTTAAAAACAGTACAAATTATTGAAAGACTTCTGGTGAGAACCACAATTGTAAAATATAAGCATCATGTATATCACCAACCATTCTTAAAATATGGACTTCTTCTTTGTTAGTGAATTGTTACTAGTATAAAAGTCTGTGGTTTAACACATGGTGAATTGTTACTAGTATAAACGTTAATCTGTGGTTTAAACACATGGTAAATTGTAACTAATATAAACGTTAATCTGTGGTTTAAACACATGGTGAATTGTAACTAGTATAAACGTTAATCTGTGGTTTAAACACATGGTGAATTGTTACTAGTATAAACGTTAATCTGTGGTTTAAAAACACATTGATTAACAATTTATTATTGTGTCAGACTACTTTTGGCCTGAATTTGGCATATTCACCGATACATATTTCCCTGATGCTTGGTAAATAATCTTTGAGTAGGTACAATATTGATACCGCTGTATAAATAGGACCCCTGACCGTTATACACAAGAACCAATACAACCTAGGGTTACAAAATCAGAAACAAAACTGTCACAGATTCCTGTTTATTCAGGCCGTCAATATTGGCATACTTTCGATATGACACCTTTATATTGATTTTACTTATAATATTCAATACGGACAAATCATATACTAATCTTCTACCATGTTATAGCAATAGTGAGCCGAAGGTGCAATGTGGTATTGACACAGTTGATATTGTATTCGTTATGACTTCATTCGCAAGCTCAGCAAAGAATGTCGCCGGTTTTCTTTGATATTTTGTCTTCAATTAATCTCATTCGTAAGAGCAATCAAGCAACACTGCTTAAAATATACAAGAATCTTACTTTTAACTTTACTTATTTTTACAACACGATGGGAGGGAGGATCTGTATGTTTCCCTTTCGATTTGCTTCAATGTTGCAATGATTTCCAAAGGAGAGAAAAGAGTATAAGTCGGCATAAACATGACTATCTCAAAGAGTCAATTCAAAATTGTTCAAACCAGTCAACAAAAATCTTCAATACGTAACTGTTACAACATCTGAGTGAACCTAATCAATCCACCCGAACTGTGACGTCACCCTAAACCACTAAACAGACATCATCTGGCAAACAATTTCTTCCATTTCTTGTTTCTACGTAAAACACTTATAGAACAAAATTAACACTTGTATGACTGCACCATCGTTACAATATTCAAGCATTCGTTTTATCAAATTCAGCGCGTGGTATATACAAATTTAATACTTTGATCACGATGAAATATCATAAGGTTTGAACTGTTAGATATTTTGTCTGGTGCTGTATCTCCCTATATCATAAATTGTAAACAAAGATTTAATAGTGTAAACATATCAATGTCAGAACTGTTTATTTCTCCTCGAAGAAAGTTTCACTCCTCAATCAACTCCATGTTACCAGACCTCATCAACATTCATATATGTTTACAAAGATATAGTCAAGCTCATATATGTTTACAAAGATATCGTCAAGCTCATATTTTTATTGCAGTAAGGTGCAATAATTATATATGTATATTTAATTTCGTTTAATATTTAAGAGTTACGTATACGTTATGCACACCATCCAGCCGTATCAATATGTAATGCTACGGTTCGTCTCGGTTATAGTTGTTTATATAAATAGTCGAATAATTTATTAAGCGGAGCAAACGGCATTTCAAAATAAAATGAACGACAACAACTGCAATACAACGCCAGCTTGCGTTATGCAATATTCCTTGATACAACGCCAGCTTGCGTTATGCAATATTCCTTGATAATATCAAAACACGTATGTTATATTGCCATAGTTAATATTATATAAATGAATTTTAAGATAAACTAATAATTATAGAAACGTTTTCTATATCAAGTGTTTGGTAAATTATTAACAAATCAAAAGAAAACCTAGAGGAAAATGTTCGATCAACGAAAGCAGTATATGAACTACCACGTTGATTCCATCTGAACTTTAAATTATTTTGTTTTGTTTTAACTAAGATCCTTACAACGTGTGTAATAGGGAATAAAGACACACGTGCATTTTGATCTTAAGGGAACAACATTACAAATATAACAACTATATGATAAATGCGCAAGACAGTGATATAGATTGTCCTAACTATTTAAGTGTTGAAAAGTTTTAAAAGTGATAAGGTCTTATAAAAAAAAATGTGTTGACGGCAACGGGTGCTTCTTAAAAAATAGAGAACAAAATATGATCTTGATAATTTTGAAACAGATTCAAGGACGATATTGACTTAGGATTCGGTTCCCATTTAACACCAAACATATACATAGTCAATACTGTTACATTCATTACATGTATTATGATATCTGTGTTCTTTGTACAGTGTATTTTTATCCTCAAAACACTTTTTTTTTGCATATTTTTAATCGGTTTCTACAAAAATACATATTTCTGCAGTAAGTTGGATTCAGTTAATTCCAATTTAAAACAAAATAAATTAACATTAAGTTTCTCCTATTTCAGATGAATTCCTTTGACATGGAGGATAATCATACGTATCACGAAGGCTATGGAAACGAGTGGATTCACCACGACCAGCTACCTGACCATATGGATCACATTGATCAGTACTCCGATTCTGAATTCCCTGAGACACCGTCGGAAATGTCTAGCCCACTAAGCCAATAGCACAGGATGTGTTCCTCTTTCTTCGATGCGGGAAACATTTTGGAACTTTAATTCAAACTTGGGAGGTTCGATTCTCAAATCAGGGACTAATATTTCAAATGGTGGTTTATTTGGACCAAATTGTATGTGAATGGTATGTATTGAACTTTGATTACGAGAGAGAGAAAAGACACTCAAATAAACGCTTGATCTCTCATGGTTATACTTTGTGTTTTTACAAACGCAGAAATGATCCTGGTTTATATGTAAATGTTGTGATTGTCACGTGACTGTGAAATTTACTGTCGTTTTGTCTATAGCTGAATTTCACATGAATGAATGCTGTACATACATAATGATCGGTGTGTCAGGTTCAGAGACATTCTACAAATTTAATTTTCTTTCGTGGAAAAAGTCCCGATGATAGGGAAAGACACAACACTTTTTCTAGGAAAGCCAACAGTTTACAGGACGTATAGAAGACACAAGGATAATTTACAAAGAGTTTTCCTCACAAATTGATGACATGTGGGTGTGAAATCTGAACAGAATGTATATAATATGCTAATTGTATACAATTGAGATATTATTGCATATAATAAGATCCATAAAGATCGGACCCTGTGGGATTATACAGAAACATTTGAATCAAATTCATCTTATTTACGTCCATTTCAACGTTTTATGTATTCATGGAATGTTTAGTTGACTTTTCAATATAGGATTATTTATTTTCTCTTTATGCACAGCACACCTTACCATTTTAGAAAAAAAATACTTTGTTAAACAGAACATGACCGGTACTTCTGCGGAAAAAAAATATATTGTCACTGTGGTTGAAAATGTATTCGTTGCAACTTTCATTTGTGAGACGATTTTTACCTTCGAACGGAGTAATTTTTATATCCACAAAATATTTAGAAATTAGCCAATGCTTTCTTCCAGACAGACGGTGGGAAGTGCTTCCGAATCACAGTGATAGAGGTTTCCGAATGTATCGGTTAAAGCCAAGTAGAAACTTTTACGAGTTTTTAGTAGTAATACATCACTGAGTTTTGTGTAATGCAATGTCTTATACACAGGATTATGTGTAGTATATTCTCGCAAACGTAATTTCGTGAGATACACACACTGAATTATGTGTGGTAACATTTTACACACAGGAATTTTAGTGGTGAAATCTTTCAAACAGAATTTTGTTCTCATCTGTTGTTTGAGAACTTATGTAATATACATCACGGATTTTTTTCGTGAATCGCAAATTTACTATATATTAAAAGGATTTAAATCTATTTATTATTATTTATTAATAAAACGTAAATGTGAAACAAATACGTGTCTTTTTGTTTATCTATTTGATGTCCTTCAACTGTATATCAGGCAGAGAATGAGCCAAGTCATCAAGCAAAAAACAGTCGAAATTGGTTGTATTAAAACTGCTATATAATAAAAAAAGATATCATTATAAAAACACCTTAAATGGACAATATATTCTAATTATTCAAAAGCCTCCTGTGAATACCAATAAATCAACTCAAAGAAAAGATATTTAGAATTTCTCAAGATCGTTATTCATGAAGCGTTAATTATGTAAATATATACAAACACTAATATGCTAATTTTGTGCTGCTATCTTTATCCATGTGCTCAAAATGTTCTCATTATTTCTTTTGCTGAACTACAACAATATCATTTAATTTTTAAAATGACGTCTTAATTTCTCTTGAATTAATCTCTTGAAGTTTCGTTATCAATGATAACTGATTTATCAGGTATATTTGTAGGCCAGTTATCGTGAGTACAATGGTTATACAAGTATACGGTAGTTATCCTGTGTATTAGTAATCTTATAAACTACAGTTATAGCGTGTACCATAGCGATCACGTATACCATAATTATCACTCATAGTTCTTACTTATATCATAGTAATCACGTCTACCATAGTTATCACGTAAGTCATATTTATCACGTATACCATAGTAATCACGTATACCAAAGTTATCACTTATATCAGAGTTGTCACTTATATCATAGTTATCACTTATACCATACTTATCACGTATACCATAGTAATCACGTCTATCATAGTTATCACTTATATTATAGATATCACGTATACCAAAGTTTTCACGTAAATCATATTTATCACGTCTACCATAGTTATCACTTATATCATATTTATCAACTATATCATATTTATCACTTATATTATTGTTATCACGTCTATCATATTTATCACTTAAACCATTGTTATCACTTAAACCATCGTAATCACGTATATCATAGTTATATCATTGTAATATCGCATACCGTAGTGTACACTGTAACGTAGAAATTGTATATACAATAATCATCACGAAATGAAATAAGTGATAACATCCTTCAGTGCATTCTTCGAGATACTTAAGATCATCAATGAAGATGTCTTGCACTGTTATACAGCGGATATAAATACACATATATTTTATCATTATATAAAACGATTATTCAGGACGCCCTAGACAGACGCTATATGCCCTATGAAGTTCTTTCGTGATACCACAACCTTTATCGAGTCAGTCACAAAGAGGACTGAACTCGCGGAATCAATAAGTCAAAAGTACCTTTCGATGTAGTTTTCATGCACAGTGATTTAATAAGATGTACGCCTGGGTCTGTGTCACACGTGTCTGCAGATATAAAAGAAACACCTATCAGAAAACAATTAATCATAATATATCTATAAATCAGAAATTTTACTAAAACACGTTTGTACAGTTTTATGAGTTATCCAAGACAGAACTGCAATTGTACTGACCTTTATATAGGAAGTTTTATTGATTTGCTATATCGCATTTCGCTTTGTTCTCAAAAATTATGTTCATGGTTCAGTTGAATGTAGCACTTTAAGGAAACACTTGAATCTTAAATATGAAACTGAAAACAATTGAACGTCATGGAATTTTCAAAATAATCACCAACTACAATGACACGAAGAAATTAAATTGAAAATGTCATTAATAACAAGCCTTCATACAGTTTGATTCAGAAGTTTAACAACATTCTACAAAAAAGTATATCAATTCTCCATGATATCATACGTCATACGGAAATCATCATCCTAGCTTTGTTTTATTTTGGTAGAAAAGATCATTTCTATTCATTCAAACTGAATGACAATAATCATATATTTCGTACCACGATGGCAATACCTTTGCTAGAGCTATAACCTTCATGTGTGTTTCTACTTCATCGACTTTCTAGAAATTAATTGATACGAAGAGAACGATAATTAATTATATAATGAATGAAGTACACATGCCACAGAGTTTAAAATGTTTTATGATATTCAAATAAAACATTACGTAACATTTGAAGACGTGTACAATCATATACTCAGACAATTTGAGAAGGACATTGTGTTGACATTGTTAATTGGAATCGATTTGTTTTAAGACATATAGCCTTAAATGTACACAAACGAACATAAGGCTAACATATTATCAAGCACCTACAACAATTAATCATACCAATTAAATATATAAACTTGTTCGATCAAAATCGTAACGCTAACGGTTAAATTAGGTAAATAACAGCAATTGACACTTGGTACATTTGTACTTTATGATTCCATAACCGACTCTGTTTAACTAATTATAAGGACGTATTCTTCAATCATTCTTCTCCATACAATACTATTTCATGAAGAGTGTGCACTGAACAGAACAACTGTAATCAATACTGAACAACACAACTGTAATCAATACTGAAAAATCGTTATCCTGACGATGCTATTACTTAGTGCAACTGTTTGATATATATAGTTGATCTCATAACTTTTATAGATATCTAAATGCTTTGACCCACTTGGTATTGAAATACACTGTTTAACTAGGATAATATGATTTGTTTCCTGAAGCAGATCCTACATCTAATGGCGTGGAAGTCGGCATGCATCATGCAAAGATTACTAAATGGTGACTTTGAAGGAGATAACTTTGCTCTCCGATAGTCCTTTAAAAACTGACCATAGTATTTGCCAAGCTAGGTACAAATATGAAAATCGATAATTCTGATGATTTAGGTTCACTGTCACTTAATCAATTCTGCGAAATACATTTTATTCATTTACCCTTTTTATTATTAATTTCAAGATGACGAATCCGAAATGGGTGAAACATGAATTACAGTTCCAATCTCATTTTTGGAACTGAAACCTTTTTGATTATATGTATAGCTTATTTGTGTATATTGTTTAAGATGTGATTGTGTTACAAAATGACAAACATGATGTTATAACACATACAGACGGATAGGAAATGTACAAACTATATTTTGACTGATATATTCCTTCAACAATAAATTCTTTCAATGGCAAATAAAGCAGAGCAAGGCCGACGTTGCTACAAAATTCATGAAGGTAAACAAACGGACTTACTCATGCATATAGTAAATTAACCCACACTACCTCTGAAGACATTGCGAAGTAGTATTGCAGCTTTGCTTGACAGCAAATGATAACATGGACAGAAATATAACCCACCATACAACGACATATTCTTTTTTTGTAGATTGCTGTAAGTAAGAATTAAATGTTCCACCTAATAAAAAATAAAGAAACAGAATGTCCAGGCCATGTCATACATTGGTGTCATTCCATGCCGGAAATAGCCGACGATTATCAGACATCTCGTGTATCTCGTGTAAAAAGCATGGTCAGCTTAACTGTCAATATCATTTAAAGCGTTAATATGTAAATCTTTAATCTTGACATTTAATGCACAATAGTGTCATTTATTTTCTCCCACAAAGTGTATTACCATTACACAAAATAAATTTAATTCACTCTTGAAAACAAATTCAGAAAAGAACGTTACAGCTTGACAAAGTATGAAGCAAATACTTTTTTTTTCAAACAAATAACTTGAAACATTTATTATTCCAAGAAAAAATCTATATTTTTGTATTTATTCTTTAAATATATTTACCTTGATCGCTGTCATTCATACCTGGATTATTTTGGTTCAGGTGTTTATGTCAGTGTATCTCCCAGTTGTCCAATGAAATAAATATTTTAACTGTATAATCTGAGTGTACAAATGTTCCTCGTTTCTCTCCCAAATATCATATCGAACCAATATACGTATAGAATAAAATATAATTACCATTTTTGGATATTTGACTACTGTTTATATTTATGACAGCCAGATATTTTGTAGACAACCAGCGTTAAGTTCTAGGTTAAACGTAAGTCGCGGGGCGGTCAATCACATCCTGATGGTAAATACTTACTACACATAGGCCTAATATGTGGTTCGATGGTCCTGTTGAATCTATGATTGAAGAGACCAGAAACCGCAACACAAACACAGCCATGGTGGTACGATCATATAGCATACCTTCATTGATATTCAATTGATATGATGGAAATTATCATCGAAAAATCATTTTATTTTTAATGAGTAAACTCTTTAGATACACTTTGAAATGTATAGCCCATTACACCAATAGCAAACCCTGCTGATTAAAATCCACTGCACAGTCAAAGTCACACTACAACAACCTACCAGTAAATAATGTTAAATTTCAGACTGACTGAATTTGGAACGGGGAAATCTTGGTAACAGAATATTCTCATCACTAGAAAATGACATATATAAATATATAATACATACACTTATCACACACAAAATGAGATATTATAGTTACCATTGAATATTAATAGATTGCTTTTGGCAATTTAACATAAGTTATTTGCTTTTGCTACCAGACATCCACTCAATGTATATCGAAAGCCTGTATGTACATACTACCATTGGCCTAACATAAGC